TCGCCTACGAACATCATCGTAGCGGATACGGTGGTGTCACGCGACACCAGCAATGCTTCGAGAGCACCTCAGAGCCTCAGATCGAAGGGGCTGAGTTTCGCTACCATAGCGTGGGGCGGCCCACACTATGGCATTGTAAACACGGCTTTCCTGACCGAGGAAAACAACTTTCCGTCTGGCATGAAGGTCAAGGCATTCGCATTACATGATCCGACTTCAGTGGTTTTGCGACCATCGTTACTGATGTAGCTGCCATGGTAAATTTATAAACTATGTCCAGTTCCTCGTCCTCAAGTGGCTGGTGGTCATGCAACAACACCGTACCTTAAAGGTGCGTAGTGCATGCCAAATGATGAAAACACTCTAGAGAGATTATTTAGGGTTGCCTGGGCCGCTCCAACATCTCAACCGCATAATCAAGATCAAATAGCTTTTCACCATGTAGCATCTCAATGCCTGCATCGCGGATTCCATGATGCGGTAAAACGATAAGGATGAACTTAAATGGGGAAAGTGGACAACTCTGATAAACGCCACTTGCCATCGGAAAGATTCCTGACAAACCACCGTGGACAGTGAGATAGCCTGTTATGTTTGAGTACAGGCCAAGTAAAATGTTCACCTACATTTTGGGAACATCTTTCCACACAAGTATTTCAAACAGAACACATCGACCGACTGATTGGAATGCAAACCTGAAGTCGGGAAACACAGCTATTGTTGGTCTATGATATTTGTGGCGCAATGATAGCACCTGCCGTAGAGTGAATATGCGGTCAATACAACAGCGGTCAAGTGCGGAAAGCAACTTGCTCTCCCCTAATATGGGATTCCAGTTCTGAAGTCAGTCGAGGAAGAAATATTTAGGCCAGTAATCTTACCAACACCGACGTTAGGCTAATACATATGTGAGCAACACAATCCGCGCGATTGCATTCCTTGTAGATCGCCACTATAATAGATTCACTCCCGTTATCTAGGATGATCTCTTCCGTCCAGACGCCTTCGAACAGGAAAGTTAGTACTTCGCAGAGTGCGAGCACGAGGGAATCCAAGCAAACACATCGAAAACGGTTAAGGGCTGTGATCGCATTTCAGACATCAGCTTCCGATGGAGTTTCGAAGCTAACCGACCATTGCTTAGCCTGTGGCATCTGAGTGGACAGTAAGCAAGGTTCAAACTGAACTGCTCACTAACCTGCTGCGCAAAAGAAATCATGCGGCACTCCAAAGGATAAATCAGTGCTCCAACGTTATCCCTGGTTGTCTTAATAAGGCCTGGTTTTTTGGGACCAGTGGTGCGGAACAGCTGGAAAGGATTGTGATAACTGCCAACCGCTTCTGCATCTTCCATTTCTGGGGCATTACAAGTTCACGAGGTTTCCTTGTCAGCACGCAGGCTTCGGTTAACAAACCATCAATACACGCTAGGTAAAAATTTCAAACGCATTTCAGCCAATAAACCGCGATACAAAAGAGAAAAGATAAGTGAATAAGAAAAAACGAGTTATAAACATTACGGCGTATACCATAAAACCAAATAAGCAATATGACGCTTAGTGTTACTTTAATCATAACCTGTGAGAACGTGGTTGGACGGCGAGGAGAGACAGAGAAACTTACAACACAAACGCCATTGGAGCAGGCTCTTCGCTATGTCAACCAATGTATCCAACCAAACATGTCCATCATCCTTCGGACCCCAGCCCTGGAGTCGAGAGACACCAACTGACACCAAATTCGAAGTGATTGGCTTCATACCTATTGACCAGATCGTAGATTGCCCTTCCCTCCTCCTCTCCTTTTCACACTCCCGGCGCGAAAACGCACGACGCGAGCGTCGGTGTGCTGACATGCACAACACGTAGCCTAACAATCGGAGCCTTGTGCGTGATATAACAGTGCTAAGCAATTCACTCGCTCTTCTTGCACGGAAAACACGACGCTGAACACGCACTTTGCTCACGCGGTGTTCCCACCAGACGAGCTGAGCTGCAAAGGCAGTGACGATCGAACATGGCTAGCCTCGTTATGCCTGCCGACCTGATGGGCCAGGTTTCGCAACCGTACAGGAGGGTTGAACGGGCGGCTGCATTGTGAACACTGTCCTTCAGAGTGAGAGCAATGTCACGCCGGCTCCACAGGTGGTGGTGATTGGCAAAAGCGCTTCAGGCTTTTCCTATACGGTTCATGATCTCATCTTCGATCCCACGGGCCTTAATATAGCTGCGGAGGTAATTGAGTTTCTGGAAGACTTTTAGCTGATCGTCAGTAACGGTTGACGGAGGTGGGTCAATGTTACTCTTGGAGGAGGAGTTTGCATTTCACGGATGCAATGCATAGCTCAAAACAACTGACAGCCAGTGTTAATCTGCCCAGTAGAGATTGGCACATTTGGGAGCTGTTACAGATTAGGGAAATGTCCTCGGCATACTCCGAGTCAAGAAGTCGCTCACAAGTTGCAGGTCGTGTCCAGCGAACGTTGTTTCCATGACTTCGTCAGCGGCGAAGTTAAAGAAGGAACGTGACAGCAGGCGAAGTTGTCTCACACCGCTGGAGCTATTGAAGGACAGCGACAGTTTGTCATAAACCTTCACTCTGCTCGAACTATGCGCGTACAGCGCTCTGATAATTTTTATCGAGCACAACTTTTTTGAGCGGGCAGTCTCAAAGGCGACATCGATCCACCGAATTGAGGGCACCTTTGACACAGAGGAACACGATTGCGACAGGTCGCCAATAAATATGTCGGTGTTCCAACAATTGGCGTAATGTGAACACGTGGTCAATGCAGCCACAATTTGGACGAAATCTGGCTTGATCCTCGTACATCTGGCCTTCATGGGTGCCAATTGGTCTATGGAGGGCGATAGAGGTAAGTAACTTAGAGGCAATTAAGATCAGACTGATTCCTCTATGGTTGCCGCATTCCGAACGGAAGACTACCTTGAAAAGTGGGACTATTACGAAGCGGCTCTAGTCTGTTGGGATAGTCTCCGGTTTCCACAGTTATGCAAACCACCCATGAGAGCAGGTCACCCGAATTTGAAGAGGGCTGGATAAAGTCCATCTGTTGCGACGGTCTTATTCAATTTCAACCGTCTGATTTCAAAATCGACTTATGCACCTGAGAGCAGATTCAATGGACTGCCAAGGGAGAATGGCGATCAATGGCCGATATAGAAGCTGGTAACTGTGGCTAATTAAACTGCTTCGCAAAGTGTTCGACCCAAAGTTCCAAGCGCGTTGACAAGCTGTGGATCGGCTGTCAACTCTCGTCGCGTATCAGACGGAATAACTAACGGTGGGTACCATTGGCGGCGGCTGTTTCCATTTCCGAGACATGATGGGACCACTGGGCTTCCGAGCCTCTCTTCAGGCTAGCACACAGTTTCGCACTGAGATCTTTGCGAGTCTTGTTGTGTTCGCTCTCAGCCGGAACACGTCCACGAGCATCCAGAACCTCCAGGGACTGCGTAGATACCAAATGTCTAGGTTGCTGTTTGATTTGCCACATGACGATATGCTTGCTGCTAATAACATCTGGCGAATATGCGACCAGTGATCTTCAACTGTGGTTATTAGGCGCTTACTGAGCTCGGATGCCAGCGTACTTTGATACGCATAGAGAACATCTGGCTTCGTCAGTTGGCAAGTAGCTATGCGCTCACAGCGCCGTTGCGGACGTCCGCCGAACCGCGCCCGCAGGTCGGTGCATACGAACGCCGGGTCAGAGTCAGCACTCGTGCTCCAAACCGAGCGATAGTTTTGGACACATTTTCTCAAACGATAACCGATCGTGATGTGAAGCCTCCGGTTTAGTTCGCGTCTAGTATTCCGTCCAGTTGGTTCAATTTAGTTCAGATGAATAACCATGATTCGAGGACGGTGGATCCAATTTCGACGTCTCATGTCGCAGGATATACAATAAAATCGTAGCTCAATGGGTTGAAGAGCTACGCAAACCGTCGCATTAGGTTAAGGTCCAGTCTCATCGAGACGACAGTGAGAAAGTACGGTCAGTGTCAAATAAAGGGATTAGTCTATAGGGTCCCCATTGTTCGAGCAAGTATAGCTGAGGCATACCAGTCTCGCGGACTCCAAATAGAAGCGGATGAACTTAGGTTGTCTATTTGGTCGGACATGGAATAATCGATAGTGTAGGAGTGACACACCATGCTTGCGTGTGAGCTAAAACTAGAAGACAAACACCTGCCAAAGAAAGGTGGGAAAAAATCTAAACAGCGGGTGGTTGAAAATAGGTGGATAGAGGTGTAGTCAAAAATGGGACGATAAGGATTAATAAGCGTGAGGAGAGAACAAGAAGACGGGAACGTTTCAGCGGTAACACCCACACTCATATCCACTCAGAGTAATGCAGCGGATAGAGCGCCGTTGACCATTCTATGCGACAACCAGAGGATAAATAAAAGGTTTGAAGAGACATTCCTTACATTGCGTGGGATATTGTCAGGTTACCAAAGCCTAGATAGGAGAATTAGTAGGGTTACGAACCAAAGCCTTGGGTACAACTACCTGACCGCAAGAAGCGGAAGTTTGGCGGTAGGCTACAAAGAGTCCTTTTTAAGAAATAAAGACCCAAGCTCCATCCGACCCCCAACTGGGAGGACTAAGAAATGAAGTTCGTTTGACCATTAACCGCTGACCAATCTGTTATGAGTGACTGAAGATGCGAGAATCCCCAGCATAGATCAATGGATCGTTGAGGCACACGAACCTCTGTACCAAGAAGAGGTGCAGCCTCATTGCGATGGAGAATTTCGGTAATCTAACGGCAACAGAAAATGTCCTAGAATAGAGAGTGAGCACTCTTGAAGCGTTCGGTAATCGTTCGCGGGTTGCTGGTGAAGTTCGTTCAGGCAGCTGCAAGAAAATGACATCCCGGCTGTCCCTTCTGAGAAGGGTATAATGAGGGAAACGGTTATCTTTATAGATCATGATGAAAGAGCGAAGACTGCTGGACACAGAAAATAACTTACCTTCATACCGGTGATGCAGAATCCTAAATCCGTCTGCCATTTGTACTTTGACCGCTCCACGGCAATTTTTTCCGCTGGTGCATCCGGTGCATAAGTCCTTTGACCAATTTTTATATCACAGACTGTCGGTCGACGGATTCCGACAAGAACGTCCTTCAGGCATAGATACGTTTCTAACAAGAGTGAAAGTCCACAAATGATAAATATAGGATGCATAAAACGATTTATATGTGAACCTGGGTAGGAAAAATATCAAGAGGTTGAGAAGTTGCAACTCGTGTGGAAGAACAAATCCCGTGGATCATCTGTCCACAACTACGACCAGTTAGATATCCGAAAGCACTGAAGCGCTGTGATCACGTAAATGCGGCAATGAGAATTCACCTCGAGCATGAATGTTCATTCCCAGCACCAAAGGAAACGTCAAAACTAAAACTACATGTCCGCCGGAGTGCCGATAACAAGAGACCCCCCAAACCAATATTCATGCACAAGTTCATGTATGAATACGTAAGGCGTGGATGTGTTCTTCGTATGGCTTTCGTCTATGGAACTAAAGGAAAACGACTGCATAACAGCACAATTAGTAAGTGCTGCACTTGGGAAAAGTGGCGTCTAGACCATGCAGATGTGAACGGTGGATGATTGCACTGACAAAGTCAAGATGAAAGGCAGACAGTTGGAATGGTTTCTGACGCGTCGATCACTAAACCAAATGCCTAACGAGGAGCAGAAGTGCATCTGAATTTATGCACATATGGAGTGATAGACTATCTTGAAGTACAACAGTTACTGGAGAGGAAGCTTGGAAACAACACAGTGTACATAATCAGTAAGTGTGAATAATATGCAACCATGAAAATTGACCGAAAAGCATCAGTGTCAAACCAATAAGGTAGAGCAAATCAGTCACCAAGAGCTATGCGGAAGATAGGTTGGGAAAATCACGACAAATGGGAATTAAAAGAGAGTAATTCTGAAAACGTAAGCGAATAGCTGAGTGTACTGTCACTATAGGATGAAAAAAGAATGGCAGAGAGGGATAAACTGTAGGGGAGGATTTAGGCTAGAGTATTCTCCTCCAAGATATGCATAAGTAGACCAAAGAGAACAAGGAGGAATTTAGCGGCGTAAGAAAACGTCGTTAAAAAGGAAAGTATTCCTGCTTACTGGTTGTTATTGGATCCCGATATAAACCTTCACATTTGGGCAAGAAAGAGCGCAAGTCAAGTAAAGTAGGATTCGTACAATCGGGAGCGAATACATTTCGATAGAGCTGCACCTCATGGAGCCCTTTGGGATATTTTTGAACAGGTTTGAACACGGTGGCGCTTTTACTTGAGTATCGAACTGCAAAAAATGTGAGAGGGTACATTACGAGCTCGCTGGAATTAGCAAGAAATTCGATTAGTAACATATACATAACGCCGGCGGTCCGGAAAATCGACGCGGCACCACAGTTTTTCTCCACATGCCCTATGTGCCAACGCCGTATGTAAATGCAGTGGTCATGGGGCATGCGCAATAGCTTCGCAGGGGAGAAGATTAAAAAGTATGATAAGGTCGTCTACGAAGGCCAATTGACAAATATAACAAAGACTGATGGTGTATAATTCCACTCATGTAGCAGTCCTGTTTGGAGGTAGCACTCATAAAAGCCAATTAACGGACCGATCGTTAAAATCTCGATGGCATTTGTAGCAGTATGTAGCTTCCTCCGGTTTGTCTGAGTATGTTGTGGAAAATTGCAAACACCACCTCACTGTACACTTAAAGGTTGTTTGCAGAATGCTGAAACGTATGTTCACTTTGTGTGTCTGACCAAACACACACTCAAGACACACACGGCGTCAGGGTTGGATTCAGCGCGTCGCTCAATCGCGCGGTTCCTCACATCCTACCATAGCTAACTTCATGTTGTCCGGTGTCGAATTTTTAGTCAATATACGGGAGTAGTGTGTACCACAAAACACCTTGGTATTGTCACTTCCGTGCCTTCTCTTCAATAATTGGGAACGGGACTCGCAATCGAATACTCCAAATCTGTAAGCGAGAGTCGGTCACTCCAGCTACAATGGTGACGAAATTGGAATCAATTTTGCCACTACACTGGAGATTCCAGCCGCAATTATCTTCACATTTTTCGTGAATCCGTTCCAATTGTTCCAGGTCCCTTTTGTGACACAAGTTCGTTCATTTCCATTAAGCAATAATCCGTCTCCTTACCAGAAGCTTCACTGCCATGTATGATGAGGACGAACAGACTGTTCATTCAGTCACTAGCAGTTCCCTTTTTATGGATGTAGATGTCTTACGGTCCACGATGTTAGAGGTAAAACGTGCTAATAAACGTGTTAAACGCGAATGAAATAAGTTCAACTACTTGCTATTTCGTCGGCTCAGTTATCTGACCTTCCATCTTAGCGGTCTAAAGGTGTGACGGCTGATCCAACCAATCGCTATAACGCTCTGAAATATGCCGTAACAAAATGATGCACGCCACCAGATAGGTCTCGTCTGTATCAACTTTTTTTGATTTGCAGTTAGGAAGCAAGAAGCCGTGGACACTGTTACTGGAGATGCGCTGTCTCTTAAGGGGTTAAACCTTGGGCGAATCTTTGCACGGCAAACATTGGCTGCAACATTTGCTTGAACATGTGCAAGCTATCTTAGCCAAGTAAGAAATCGTTGGGATTGCAGACAGCGCATTGGAGCCACTTTGCACTTCGCTGCCGAGCGATCACCAGTTGTGCGTGGGCCGCGTATACCGCGAGGACGCCCGCTCCTACGAAAATTCGAACCGGCCAGCCAAGCTTTCAGACCACACGGCCACCGACGCTCCGTCAAGCATTACCCGGCCAGCTGACACGCCTCACCGGGTGCAGATCATAGCTCCGGCAAATGATAGCACAACCAACCTGCCTTCAACGCAGGCACTCGTGGACGAAATAACCTTACTAAAACGAGAAATCCAAAGTTTGAGCCAAAACCAGCAGCAATGTAGGGATACACAAGCGCTTGCAGTACCACACGACGCTCTGTAGGCCGTTGCCACACAAGGTTCAGCAGCGCTGCTACAAATTGCGTTAAACCTTGCATATTCACATCGAAAAGAAAGACGCAGACCGAACAAAGAATTGAAAGACGTCATCAGGTTTAGTCTGATAAATACCAAGGACAACGGTCAACAGATGCCAACCAAAGGTTGCTTAGAACAAGCTGATCGACAAGTACTAGCGACTGACGTCGGCACGCAAAATACCGCAAGTCGTCTATTCAATATAGTCGATCGAATCTCATGGATCAAATTCCTAGTCGACACTGGAGCAGAAGTCAGTGTGACCCCAAAACGCCCAAACCAATCGACTAAGCGGGGGACATAAAATCTACGTGTCACCAGCGGAAAGACAATAGCAATTTTTGGCCAGCGTTCTCTCGCCATTGACCTTGCGTTTTAAAGTAGCAGCTATACTTGATGCTATCCTTGGAATCGATTTCCTGCATCTATTCGGTCGAATCGTCGATGTCCGTCAGGAAAACTAGTCGACAAACAAACACGTCTTTCCAACTGCGGAGTCGAGACGTCATACGGAACCGTCACATTTGTCCCAACCACAGGCTGATAAAGGTTGACTAGAACTGATCGCGCAGTTTCTAGTTGGTTCGCGCTTCGCCATTCTTGCAGTAGAAACTTACGTTACGCAACACAAACGAACCCGTGGTTCACTCTAATACGAGGTCTTGTCCATAACACATTCGTAACTGACTGCGAATAGCACCGCCCCGTCGCGCTTCCGTTGCTGATTGCAGGACTCATTTTCGCATATCTTGGTGCATTGGATTTTCAGCGGATTTTCTAAACGGTTGGTTTCTATCGTTCAACTGCTTGTTGAATAGTTTTAAAAGCCTATAGGCATAGGCTTAGTGTATTCATACCGCACTTCTACCCTGCTACTCCACTTTCCCTTTCTCCCTCATTCCGACGCACTTACTTCTTCCCATCTGCCAAACCCATTAAGGCCTTAAACATTTCCTTCTTGCTTACGTTTGCTATATCGACTCCATTTGTTTGTTAACTACATTTATCTCCCACTCTATCGATGACTTCTAAAAAACTAGCCGCAAAGAACAAAAGTTCAGCCACCAACTCAGTGTTATCAAACCAGTAAACTTTAAGGGGCACTAGTAAAGTTGCAGAGGTAGATCAACTTGTTTTCTCTTCCCTGGTATCGCCAATCTTCAGAATAATAATAAAAACTCGGCTACAAATGCGCTACTACCAAATGAAAAGTGTTAAAGGTTGCCAAAAAAGCTGTAAAAGTACGTAAACCAAAGGAAACTCTTAAAACTTACAAATATTGTTTAGCTTCTACTACTAACAGTCCTATAAAAGTGTACAGTAGAATAGATCGGACTGAAAAGGACGTTAAATCAATCAATAAAAATCTCTCGGCAATGGATGACCTCTGTAACCTGCTGCTTCTCTTCTCCTACTTGTGTAGTATGCTTGATAAACCCAAACTAGAGTACTTGCACAACGCTTCAGACTTCATCTCTACAGTTGAATCAGAATCTTGTGAACGTATACGCCGTCAGAAAAATGTAGTGGCGTTCAATGTACCTGATAAGGTCAAAATCGAAACCGTAGAAAAGATAGTGCTTGAAACCAACAGCTTACGGCGAATAGGTTGTACATTCTTTCGAGTAAAGAACTCGATGAAGCATTGCTGCCCGGTCGTGTTCAAGCTCTTTGACAAAGCAAATGCTGAAAAGATTATCCGTTCGCAAAGCCCCATAGCCACAAGACCCGGTTTCGAAAGGATAACTCCTAAACACGATGATACACCACTCATGAGGGAAGTGATTCGAAGTAGACGATCTCTGGTAGGCCCGAAAGAACATACACCTGTAAATATGCACCGCCACGTAAGCCTAGATGCCGAAGTGAACCTTGACACTCCAATGTACCACCCAGCGTGGGTGTTGCACCTATACAATCGGCACCATTCAGTCCGTCCAAAACAGCTTCCCCAGAAGTAGGCAGTATGTTTGACACTGACCTAGTTCAGCCATTGGATGAGATCTCTCATAATGGTCTTCAGAACCATATTAAAATTGTTCCCACTAACAGTGACAGTTCAGGCTGAACGAAGTTTGCCCAACCACTGGGTGGACAGTATAAAAACAATGATCCTGTGGATACCATACCTATAAACGCTAAAATCAATGTCGGGCATAAATTAGGGAAAATAGACCACACGCGCCCCTAGACAACAAGTAGCTTGCTTCCTAGATAGGCAGTAAAACTAAGGGTCAACTACGCGGTAAGCCCTACATGCCAAAGGCTGCAGCAAAGGTTGTTGGAACAGAACCAAAATCTCAAGGGATGTATGCAAAAAATGGCTGTAATCATAGTTTTCAAAGAAAACAGTCTTCAAAAACCTTCCGAAAGACGCAAAACGCAAACCAAAGAGCAACTCCACCCAACTCATTTACAAATGGTTGGACCGCTTCTCTCAAGATCAGCACTATCCAAACCCGTACAGGGGTTCATGATCCCCCAACTCCTGGTGCGCCCATCCCTTCTCTCCTTCCGTTCCCCATGGGCACGGGTGCCCATCAGTGTCATGATGATAACTACAGTAGCAGGGCTGCATCCTCTCATGGAATCACTCTCTTCCAACCCGTACCACATTTTGAGTAACCACAAGTCATGTATTAGATCATCGCAATATGTTTCTACCTCCGGAGAACATGAAGCAGACATGCACTAGCCTTTTTTGGGGAACCCGCCGCCTCACCCGGGCCCCATTTCTACCTCACCTCCCTCCCAGCGCATATCAATCAGTAATTGGGGATGCAGAATGCACCACATGGTTCTGCAAGCCGTGTACACCGACATAAACCTCCTCACTCATGTAGAAAAAAACCGTTCCCAATCCCGAACGTACCAACAGACAATGCTTCATGATCCGTGGCCTGCATCACGGTCTCTTTAAATCACACCCCATACAGTAGCTCAAGGTCCCATAGGTCCTTTGATACAGGCAACGATGAATACAGTCAAAATGAGTGTTAATTTCAATAATCTTCAGAAAATACATTATTAAATAACTCTAGTCCCAGCGGGCAGCAAGTCTTCTATCCCAAAATGATATAGTTAACCTTCTTCGAACGAATGCGCGAACGCTGGAGAACAAGATGCATCACCTACGACCCTTATTACCCTTCTCGCGTCCACCTGTTGTGTATGTAACGGAAACATGGTTTGGCCAGCAATGCACAGAGCTACTAGTTCCTGGCTTCATGACTTTTACCAGTGGCCGCCTTAATGATCGAGGTGACGGTGG